TTTCTTCACCTAATGAGGATTGCCGCTTAGTCTGTGGACGGAGCACTTCGTTGGCCCCGCTGTCAACGAGAACAAAACCATCACTCTCAACACGATTGCCCGAGACACAACACATGTTTGCAGCACCTTGGCGCCGCCTACGCACCATGCCATGGAATCTTTGTTGGACTTCGGGGTCGTACTCTTCATCACTCACCGGTTCTCCCGCCTGCCAAGATGCATATAAAGAGAACGCAAGTTCCTCAATCTGTTCTTCTTCCAGCCGAACACCCTGGACTCCCGTAGAGGCGTGGACTTCATACAGGACACCTTCATGCTGAAACAGGTCCTCAGCAACCTGCCGTTGAATGCCATTCTCTACCAAATCTCGAGGACTCAGGAAGGCAAGATCATCAGCAAACTCGGCACCTAACAAACCCAGGGTCTCAGCTAGGTGACCAAATCCATGACCATTCAACATTTCCTCTAGTGGAATTCGGTCCCTGACATGCCCGGTGGGAGCCCCGAAGCCGAATCTCATGCATTCATTAAACCATACATCCTCAGGCCATGGCTCTACGTACGGCTGATTTCTTTCCACCGCTACCACAAAACGAAGCTTGGACTGGACATCTACACGCTCAAGCTCGAAGGCAAAGGCCCCCTTGAAGACTCTCGTGACCGGATCCAGAACCAACACATTGTGTACAGCAGTGACGGTCCATTCATCATTCAACACAGCCGGCAGCTCATCTAATTGCCCAGCCCTATGCAGAATCCATGCTCCATGCTCCACACTGCGATAATCATCAATGTGCTCAAACTCCGCATGCGCCCTGGTGACGATGTTGCCTGGGTGAGTCCACATTTTCCACTCCAAACACGTCAAGCGCAAGCTCCACATCCATGGACCTGGCTCGTCGTCACTCTCCTCCTGAAACTCGTCCCCGAATTCACTCGGAGTAAGGTCATCGCTCCTAACACCATCCAGTTCGGAAAGCTCTGAAGAGGAAGAGATACCATCGTCAGAAGGTTGATCGTTCTCACGCAATGCCATGTTTGCACACACTCGATAACATGTAGCAGACTTCGCCTCAGCTCCAACAAGTGCTGCTGCCTTCGCTTTAGCACCTGGCTTTGCCTTGGGGTCCGGTTTGTCTCTTGCTGCTGCTTCCTTTGCTGCGGCCTTGGCTTTGGCTTTTGCCTCCCTTGCTTCAGCTTTCTCTTTGGCCTTCGCTTCAGCCTCCTTGGCCGCTGCCCTTGTCTTTGAATCCTCCTTGCCCTTGCCCTTGCCTTTGGCTTTTGCCCCCTTAGGATCACCATGCCAATACTCGCAATCCTTTCCCTTCAAGCACCCTCGCTCAGTGTTAAAGAATGCACATGGAGTTGACTTGGTATCACCTGTTGGTTTTCCTTTCTTGCCTTTCCCTTTACCCTTAGCAGCTGTGATCTCATACTCTCCAGTTCCAGCATCAGAACCTTTCGGGTGATGTGGCTTAGAGAACTCCTCAGCTGCCAGTCGCCGTGCTTCTGCCTCAATCGCCGTCTGCAGGAGACTCACACCTTCTTCGGTGGGATTCAAGATCTCAGGACGAAGACGAAGCAAATTCAAGCGCGTACTCAGGGTGGGACTCTTCTTTTCTAGAGTTTTCACCATGTGGTTCAAGGAAGAAATGGCTTCATGTGGAGGATGACTCGGCAAACCAAGGACAAGAATCCGGGATGTAGCCAGCTTTAGCCTTCTAAGTGTTGCCAAACATTCAGTGAAAGTATTTGCCTGCGGCAGGTTCCTCAAAAACGACGTCAGGCTTGACTTCTCTTCAATACCACCAGGTTGGTAGCGCTCAAGAATCGCTTCTAGGATCGTTAATGAAGGAACCACTTGACCCGCAGCTGACTCAATCACACCTCGTTTGATATCATCACTCGTCTGCGAAAGCAAAGTCATAGCCAACCTGCTCTCAAACTCCTCGCATCCGCTGGCAACAGGGGGAACATCGGGGTCATGAACCCCGGCATCCATGCGCCGTTGAAAGCGCCCCAACGCTGCATCGATTTGGTGCCTCACGAACTTTCCGAACCCAGCACCGATACACGATGCAACGGACACCATTTCGGTAGCATACTGCGAGAATTGGAGGCCTCGTTCCCATGCCTGACCTCGCGGCTCAAGAATCCTCGGGAACTCCTTCATCAACTTCCACTGGCCCCCTGCAACTCTCAGCTCATGTCCATCTAGATGGAAACCATCCTGGCTCGAGCTACGAAATTCTTTGGGAAGGGGAGGCGGCTGAGTAGGGGCATTGGCACCCCAACCCTCATTCATCCAGGCTGATTCCATGGGAAGGCCCGGCGGTTTTGTCAACCAAGAGCTGATTGGTCTGTCATCGTACGCCTCCCACCAGTCATCTTCACCAGACCTTTCATTGACCTGAAGCGGCGTCCCACTTCCAATGGAAAAAGTCTGCGGTTCCCCAAGGCTTGCTGGCGCCTGGCTTTCCTGCTGGGGTCCTGCGTCCGAAGCAATAGACTGCGGTATTACGTGACTCAAGTGACCCTGGATCTCCTCGTCACGCTCACGAAGTTTCTTGCAAATCTTTTCAACGCCAACCACACGTTCAAGGACAAGCGCCAACTGTGTCGAGGAACCTCGCTTCTCTTCTTGGGTTTTCTCATTGAGCTGTCTCACTTGCTCTTGTAGATCGTGAATGCACAATGAAGTCTTGTCGGATTGTAGCTTATGCTCCTTCAGGAAGATTTTCCTTTCAGCTTCAGGCCATTCACCTCCAGCTACAGCTTGAAACTCCAATGCGGCTATACGATCACGGATCTCATTCACTTGCTTGCTCACAGCGTCTTGAAGAAACACCTGGCCCTCTAGGTCATCAACCCTTTGACTCAAATGTCTCACAGCTGTAGCGAGCTCATTCATCTGACTTGTCAAGGTGCTGCATGCTTCACTCACCTGGCCATAAGCCTGGCGACTCTGCAACGCTGCGTCGCGCAGCTGCTCTATTCCAGCAACAGTGGTTGTCAGGCCAGTGCCCAGCAGATTTGTGCGACGCTCCATCTCATGACGAATGCCTTCAAGGTTCTGCTGCACTTGATCCATACCAGTCATAGCAATAAGATCCCAATGATTTCCCTCTAACTGTCGCATCATTCGGACCACGTCACCATTTGCAGATCTAATCTCGTTCATTTGACGGACAAGGAACTCTGCACCTGGCGTATTCATGACAACATCCCCAACTTGTGTGCCCTGGCCAGAGACAGAAAGTGAGGAACGCTGATGCTGCTGCTGCTGCGCTTCTGCGGGATTGCTTGGAGCGTTTGGGCTCATACCCTGATGTTGGTCAGGGCTGCTTTCGGTGATTCTGCTGAAGTGTGATGGAGTGGGAGATTGAGGCAGCATCTGGAGAGGAACATCGTTCATCAAAACCCTAGATAAATCATCAGTATCCCCCGCCATCTCTTCCGCCTTGGACCTCAATCATCAACCACCTTCTTAGCCCTGAACCCCTGAACGAACGCACCCTTCACACCCTGGACTGGGTCGCAGGACTAGGGTACCAGGACAGGGGGTGGGACTAGGGTACCGGGAAGAGGAAACCAAACCCCAAAACCCGGAAGAACCCGAAAGAACCCGAAAACCAAGCTGCACTCCGTGCATTTGCTCCGAGACTTGAGCCAACATCGTTGGCATAGTTTATGGTTAAGACCTCAGTGGACGCGCTCAGCGTGTCATCCTTGCGCAGGGGCTGATGCTTCAAGTGAACATGAGTGCCTCTTTACACAAACAACAGGTTCAACGGCCCCCAAAGCAGCCCAAAACCCCCTGAAAAAAACCCTGAGCCCCAAACCCGAACTACCCCCTACAACCCGACATCCGGCCTCAGGGGGCCCGTTTTGCCCATCTGAGCGTAGATCGCTGAATTCGGCTTGACCCTTTATGGGCGTAGCTGCGGAGACTCTGCCACTGGGGCCAGGGGGGACCCAACACCCCAAAGTCCCAAAGTTCAAATCCCAAATCCTAAGCCTTCAACTCGTAGAAAATCTGCCTCCATGGTAGTGGCTCCGCGGCGTCGGCCCTCCAATCCCTGTTGCAAGTCGAGGGAGGGGGAGCATTGGCAGCGTTCCTAGGATCAGAGCGGGCTTTTTTGGGGGGTTTTTGGGTTTGAGAAGTTTAGGGCTCTTGGGGCCATACCTCTCAATCCTAAACCCGAAGCCCAACACCGTGAAGGAATTCGGGGCCTGCAGGTGGTGAAGATTGCAGGGTCGATGAAGGAGGGCTTGGGTTGCTCAAAAACGATTGCAATCCTTAAGGGGCTTCCAAGACCAGTTTAGGCTTGGGCCGAGAAGCTTTCGATGTTTTTTTGCTGGCGGTTAGGTACACACCATGCCCCTGTGGGGCTTCCCTCCCCCCCCCCCCCTCTCCCCCCTCGAAAGGCGCCTGTGCCTCAGAAGGCTGGGGGCCTGAGGTGAGCCGAGGTTTAGTCTGTGATGCAGAAGGCCGCGGCTCGTCTGTGAGACCGACGAGGGGGAGGGGCGAATTAGAACTTTTTTCCCATTTTGGTCCCTCTGCTCGAAAGCCTTGGGAGTGCCGGATCCTTGGGTATGCAGAGGAAGGCCCCGGTTGGAGCATCAAGATCTCCAGCTCGGCACGCCGTGCCACGAAAAAAGCACCAAATTTCCAGTCGGGAAGTCTGGGTCTTAGGTGTAGGGTATGTTTATATCCCCCCCTATATTGCCTTTTGAGAGTATTTTGGGACATTTTGGGGTACCTATACTTCCCCAATTCATACGTCTTAGGGCTCCCGACCTTTTGAGTGTTTTTGGATGCTGGCTAAACCCTGCCTGCTCAATCTGCCCAAGTGCGCCGCCCCAAAGCCCCAACACCGCAAAGGCCCCCAAAAAAGCCCGAAAAGCCACGCAAAACCCAACCAAAGGTTCCAAAAAGCCCCCCTTCCCACCAGAAGCCCCCCCTAAACCCTAAGCCCCAAACCCTAAATCCCTCAAAGGCGCCCCGCGCCCCTGCGCACGAGAACTGGCAGCCCGAGGCCTTGGGGGGTTTTTTTGGGGTTTTTGCTGGTTTTGGGGGCCTTTGAGGGCCTTTAAGGGCGTTTTAGGGGTGTTTGGGGTTTTGGGGTCTTGTGCTTGTAGGTTTTATTTTTTTTGTTGGGGGGGGTTAGGGTTGCAGGGTTTAGGGCTTGAGGGTCCGGGAGTCCAGCTTTGGCGGGGTTTGATGGGGTTTCAGGGTGGGAGGCTGTTGGAGTGTGCGGTTTTGAGGGTTTTGGGTGTTGGAGAGTTTGGGTGCTGGGGTTGGGATGTTCCCCCTTACACGTACTATACTGCTAGGATAAGGGGGGGGGGAACATCTCTTGTGGGCTTGTCAGGATTTTTCTGAGGATTTGGGGTTTAGGGTTTAGGGTTTGGGGTTTAGGGTTTAGGGCTAGGGTTTAGGGTTTAGGGTTGAGGGCTTGAGCCAGGAGATCTCGGAGAGCAAGCCGCCCGAGACAGGGGCCAGACAAGTGGCGAAGGCCTGGGATGCCCCCAAGACCTAGGATGCCCATGGGCCTAAAGACCCTAAACTTGATGATAAGCCCTAAACCCTGAACCCTAAACCCTAGACCCTAAACCCTAAACCCTAAACCCTAGACCCTAGACCCTAGACCCTAAACCCGAAACCCTAAACCCCAAGCCCTAAACCCGAAATCATCCCCGACCCCCAGCAACGAAATCCCTGGGTACGGTTGCCGGTTGCCCTCTGAAACTACAGCCCGGAGGCCCCTCGTGTCCTTGTGTGCAGTTCGAATGCGGGGAGCTTTTGGAGCTTGGGGCTCAATCCCTCCATGGGACTTCGGGGCTTAGAGGTTGGTAGGCCGGAGAGTGTCCAGGGAAATTGGGTGTCCCTAAGCCCTATAGGCCCTAAGCCCGAAACCCCAAACCCTAAACCCCACCCGAAATGCCCAGAGTCTGAGCTTGACAGGAGATTGCCGAGCTCTGCCCGAGCCCCGCTTGTAGAGCTTGCGCGTGTCTCTGGGCTTGGGGCTTCTTAGCTGGAGAGCCTACTTGGCCTACTAAGCCGACTCTACCCTCCACCCTGAACATTTTGTTGTTGCTTGTGGGGTGCAGAAGCTGCCGGTCTGGCGCACTCGTCAGAAGCGCTCACGCAGGGGGGCTTCTGGAGTCGATAGGCCCTAAGCCGAAAACCCTACCACCCTACATCAGCAGCCTTAGGCTGTAACCCAGCAAAGAGTAGGCTTGGATTCGCAAGGTGAAGTCTAAGTAGATTTCGCCGCTTCAAGAAAAAAAGCCAGTTCAGGTGCTGAGCATGGCCTTCTCTCGGATGGCGCCGTGGCGAGCCTTGGTCTGTCCAAAGGCCTCTCGCCACCTTGGCGGGGCGGGGTCGGCGGAAGAGTAGCTCTTCTGGGCTTCGCGCGGACTCATGGGTACGGAGATTTTGGCTGGATTTTGAGGGATGTGGCTCCAGCCCTTCCACCTCATCAGCCTCTGAAGCGCGCCCGTCCAGACCCAATCTTGATGTTGTGGGGTTTTGTTGGAGCGAACGGTGCTTTACTTGGCTTTACCCAACGCCAGGTGGCAGGCCCAGCCTACCCAGCTTGCCCTGGTGGCCTTGGCTGGCACTGAGCCTGAGACCCAAGAAGTGCCCCAAGGTAGAGGTGTACAGGATTCATCAGACAAGTTCCGTGATTTCGGGGGTTTCCACCAGTTTTTGTGTAAGATGTTCAAGGCCTGACCTCTTTAAAGCCCTCAGCCTTGAAGGCGCCTGTCATTGTAACCCAGGGATCGGTTGCTCTCACCCCTAGAGCCCCTTCCCCTCAGAAGCCACCCCACCTTTTTTTTTTCAAAGCCGTGGGCCCAGATTTGTCCCTGGGCCTGGCGCTGGGCCTTGTGAGGAGGAGGGCCGCAGGCGGGTATATAAATAAGCAAGCAACTGCATAAAAAGATAAATAATCGACAAAAAACAAACAGGTAAACAAGTAAATACGAATCTATATATATATATATATGTATATCTATATCTCTATATATCTATATATATATATATATATATATATATCTATTTATATATATATATATATCTATAAATAAAGAAATAAATAAATAAATAAATAAATATATATATATATCTACATATATATATATATATCTATATGTACATTTACCTTTTGGCTGACTCTCGAAGCCCCGAACCCTATAGACGCTAACCCCCCAAAACAAAAAGCCCTTGAAGCCCCTACAAATCCTAGAAGGGTTAAGTGGAGCCCTCTGATCCATGAGCCTTGAGCCACATCTTGAGAGTTCTCATGGGTTCCAGTGGCAAACGAGGGTTCGGGTTTAGGGTTTAAGGGTTCAAGTTTGGGGGGGTGCGGGGGGGGGGGGTGTGCTGGGCCTTGTGTTTTTTCTAGAGCTCCCGAAGTGTGAGCCAGTGAGCCGTTGTTTTGTCAAGGAACCTACTTGAGCGAAATTTGTTTAAGTAATACGCTACATCCTTCTCTGCTGGTTCTATAGACTAACAGGCTCATGTCCTATTGTCACCGTGGCACCCCGCACCCATCCTGCACAACCATGCCAGCACCCATAACTCACTCAGAACAAGCCTGGAACCCTAAAAAAAACCCCTAAAATCCGGAGTGAGAGCATCGCCCATCCCCTGGGCGAGGCTCTTCGACCGTGGCGTCCGCGGGCGCGGCCGTTTGCCTCGCCGTGGGCGCCCAGAAGCTCAGCTTGTCCGAACAGCCCCAAATAGGTTTGGGATATTTTTAGAGCCTTGCCTTAATTTCGTCATCAGGATCCTGAAATACTTCAAGGTCTTTTCCTTGATTTGGGGTTGCTGGTTTAACATGTCTGGAATCCACCAGTGGCATACCCTCTGAAGGGATCCCAAATCCTGAAAATTATGTCGACTCCCACACTCCTCCACGCCCCAAGCTCACAGCATAGGGGATTCGAGGCGGGTGGGGGGCCTTAGCGATGTTTTTTTTGGGGTCTTCGAGATGTTGAGGCAGTAGTCCCTGCGATCTAACCCCATGAAAACCCGAACCCTCAATGACTTCAGGTGGGCGGCTTCTCCCTCCCCTGCTTCGGGAGGTTCCTTCTACTGCGCGAGGCGCGATGGAACTCCTTGAAGGTTCGCCTTTGCGAAGGTTCATAGAATTGCCTTTCTCAACTAGTGGCTAGGTATGAGGCTACTCATAGACTTTCAGGCAACCATGACTGTGCCCAGCATACAAAGGCGACCCCTCCTCCTAGCCCCTTTGTATGTGTGTGTGTGTGTGTGTGTGTGTGTGTGTGTGTGTGTGTGTGTGTGTGTGTGTGTGTGTGTGTGTGTGTGTGTGTGTGTGTGTTTTCTCCTCTGCCTGCATGGCAGGCTCGTCGCACCTGTGGCGCGCTCCAGCAGCTCTTTGGGCAGGTCCTTTCAAGAGCACATACATACATACCTATATATCTAGATCTGCATATATATATATATATATAACTACTCTCTAGCAGGTAGTAGAGGGAACAAAACCTTAAGCGATAGTTCAGAGTCAGCTTCCCATTCATCTGTGTAGACCGGCGCCCCTAAGGGAAAGAGCGCCTTCGGGAGCGTAGTTGGTCTGTTAGGGATCCTTAGAGGCTAGGGTGAGGCTGAATTCCCAACAAGGCCCAGCGCACATCGCAGGGCCTCCCAAGGGTTTCTTCGCTGTGTCCTTGGCTTTTTGACTAAGCCCCATAGCCCAGAACCTTGAGACCCTAAACTTTTTGTGGTTTAGGATTGAGGGTTTAGGCATAAAACCCTCAACCCCAACAACACCCCAAAGCCTGCAGCCCCAAAACCCCCAGAACCCTGCCCTCCCCACTATGGAGGCGGAGGCAGCGGTGCAGATGCTTCGGGCCTTAGAGTTCGAGGCAGAGGCTGAAGGCTCGCAAAGCACGCATGGCCTCTCGTTTTTTTTGTGGGTTTCCCCCCCCTCACCCCCCCTCCCCCCCCTCCTCCCCTCCCGCATGTGTATAGTATAAGGATACCTGCGACAAGGGATCAGACGGTTGAGAGCCTCATCGTCATGGAGGGAGGCGTTGGCGAAAGGTTCTTGAACAAATTCGGGGTTCTCCTTTTCTCAGAGGAGCTTGAAGTTGCCGGAGTTGGAATGGCTCGGGTTGACACCTGGGTCGCTGCTGCCGAATTTGGCTCAGGCCGCTATTGGAATCGATGTCACACGTTTCGGTTGGCAGGCGGTTTCAGCTCTCCGGGCTAGTGCATAGTGTCGCATCCGACATTGAGGGCCGTAATTAGGGCCTCTCAAGGCAAGTACGTGGACCGGGTAATTCGAAACACAGAACAGAGTGAGGCCCAAAGCGCAACCTCAAAGAGGGAGGCTACCTGCAACCCTACTTTGCGCCACCCATGAACAGCCCGAAGCCCCCCCCCTAGTAGGAGCCTTCCAAGCCTGAAAAGTTCCCCCCCTCTCCGCCTCGCGATGCCGCCCAAAGCCGCGAAGGCAGCGGCGAAGGCTGCATTGAATGGGGAGTTTATGCCAAACATAAATACGAGGAAAAGTAAGACTAAGTCATATTCTGCCAAGAAGAAGACTAAACGCAAGACGAAATTATGTGAACAACTATGTGGTAAACAAGTGTTGGGGAATGCCCTGCAGCCACAGCCCAAGCAGCACGAAGAGGCGCCGGCCAAGGCGGCCGCGGCCAAGCCGGCGGCGGCCAAGCCGGCGGCCAAGTCCGCTGCCAAGGCTCGGAGAAGACTCCCCTGGGTTCTTAGCAGGGAATGAGGGAATTAGGGCCTTAAACATACCCTTTAAGGGATTGTATAGGGTACCTCAGGTTCTTAGCAGGGAATGGAGGAATGAGGGCCCTCAAGACACCCTTGAAGGGATTGTATAGAGTACCTCATTCCCTCATACCCTACTAAGAACCAAGGGGGGGCAGGGGGGGGGGGGGGGCAAGCTGGAGGTGCCAAGCCTCGGGTGTGGGGATGGGGTTCAGAGCTCCGAGTGCAGGGGTTTTGGGGGGAAGGGTTTTTGGGGGTAGATTCGAAAGTGCAGGCTGTAGTTGAGATTGCAGAGTTCAGGCTTTGCGGGCTTGGAAGACTCAGGGCTGGAATCTGGGGCATGCCAACACCCATCCCAAGAAAGTCCGGTCCAAGACATCTTCAAAACACCGAAGAACCAATCCCCCCAACACCACCGTTCGGGACCACAAGCGACCCCGGCACCTTTAATCTAAGGGCGGAACCATGGGCCCTTAGTATGGTCCCTGAACCTTGTTTATAGGGATCCGAAGTAATGGCCCTTATTATTCATCGTGTATATAAGGGTTCTATAGCAAGGGGCCAACATTAAGGGCCCATACCTGGAACCTTAGATTTAAGAACGTCGTGTGACTCCGCAGGCGGCGCCGACGTCGCCTGCTGGTGCAGGGGCCGTCGCCGCGAAGGCCTTGCGCAAGGAGGCGTGGGCGCTTGGGGCCTCCGCCCTTTGGGTTTGGGGGGGCGGAAGGTTCCGGACCAGGTTTAGGGTTTAGGGTTTAGAGCTTTTAGGGTTTAGGGCCACAGGGGCTTCTAGTCTTGCAAAGGCCCTCAAACAACCCGAAAAGGAAGGCTGAGAGTCCTGCGTATAGTTGGACAGCCCTGCAGTCATCTGCGAGTCATTGCACAATTGCATGCCTTATCTGGCAGGAAAGTGAAACTGCCCAACGGATATGCTTTGATCTTCGGAAGTGGGCCATGTGACAAAGGTCTCTTCGCCTAAACCCTAAACCCTCCACCCTCAACCCTTTCAAGGTTATATAAAATGGTTTGTTCCCCTAAGCGCTAAACCCTTTCATGAATTAAGGTATGTTACCCTAACCCCTAAACCCTTAACCCTTTTGAGGTTACATATAAGTTAAGGTTTATTCCTTACTCAAGGGCGGACATCAACTCGACATGTTGCTCGCCCGGCTTCTCGTGGATCATTCCGACAACAGCGGGTTTAGGGGATGTACGGTAGGGAAAGCAGGAGATTTAGGGAACTTGGCGGCTTTGGCCGGTTTTGGGATGGGGAGTTTAGGAACCCTAAACCCTGAAACCTGAACCCTAAACCCCAAACCCTAAACCCTAAACCCTAAAACCCTAACCCCCAACCTTTGGTTCAGGGCTTTCAGGGTCTCGGTTTCCAGGACGAGCAGAAAGCCGAGGAGGCAAAGAAGGAGGCGCCGGAAGAGGTGGGGAATTCTGGGTCTAAGTTTAGGGTTTAGGGTTTAGGGTTTAGGGTTTGGGGTTTAGGGTTTAGGGTTTGGGGTCTGAGGTTTGGGTTTGTGGTTTAGGGTTTGGGGTTTGTGGTTTAGGGTTTGGGGGGTTGGTGTTAGGGGTTTGGGATTTAGGGTTTGGGGTTCGCAGGGTTTTTTTTTATAGGGTTTCCTTGGGGTAGGGTTTCACAGGGTCTGTTTAGGGTTTGTGTGTGTACGGCCTTTACAGGTTCTTCTGGGGATTCAGTATATGCCCTAAACCCTACACCCTAAACCCAATACCCTAAACCCTAAACCCTCAACCCTCAACCCTAAACCCTATAGGTTTTTGATAGGCTTTCCGGGGTCGTTTTGGGGGCTTCAGGAGGCAGAGAAGGCGTCGGAGAAGGCGTCGGAGGAGGCAAAGAAGAAGGCTCGGAAGGGTTATAGGGGCTTGGGTTAGGGGACGCATCATGGATGAGGTTTAATAGGTGTTGGTGTTGGTTTAGGGGGGCATTAAGGTTTTGGAGGTCTTTCGGTGTTGATGTAGCGTTTTCGGGGGTTTTGTGCAGGGCTTTCGGGGTTGAAGGAGTCTTTCGGAGCGCTTGAGGGTTTTAATTCAGGGGCTTCTGGCGGTGATTCCCTTGAACTCCCTGGCCCCCAACGCCTAAACCCGAAACCCTAAACCCTAAACCCCAAACCCTAAACCCTAAACCAATCCCCCAGGAAGAGGAGGCGGCCAAACTGGAGGAGGAGCTCCTGTTGCGGCGTGCAAGCTTTATCGGGTCCTTACGGGGGTTCAGGGGAGGTTTAGGGTCCAGGGTTACTAGAGAACCTTCGGGAAGCTTAGGTAGCCTCAGGGGGCAGTGGGGAGTATGAGGTCTGGGTGGATGTGGCCATCTGGACGTTATTCTGGGAGAGCGCCAGTGTCTAGGTTTAGCTGTGGGCAACCAGCAACCAGAAGCAAACATCAATTGCCCATGCGGGGCACCCGAGAAATCCTCATGAACAGACGTCTGGTTGATGTGCAAGACCTGGTTTTTGAGCAGCAAGCGGCTTTCTGGGACAACATGCAAGGCATTCTCGGGCGGGGGGGGGGTCTTGGGATGTGTTTCTTTGTTTCAGAGCTTCCAGAGTCTCTTCTGTTAGGGTGTAGGACTTGGTCTTTGGTGGGAGGGGCCGAGATTGGGTTTTCGGGCTTTGTATCCCTGGACTGATATTTCCCAGGAGCGGAAGCAAGCAGAAGCATCTGCGGAAGAGGAGCAGGGTGGATGTCTGATATCCAGGCTAATCTGCTAATCTAAGCCTTTTGTTTGGGGGGATGGGGGGTTCAATTGTTGCGAATCCCTTTCATCCCAATCCCACGCCCCCCCACTCTCGACCACCCTTGGATTGCGCACACAAGCAGCAGGCCCTCGCGCACGAGACTGCCAACACCGAACTGCAGTTTCCTCTGAACACATCAGCTTCTTTGGAAGCTTATAGTTTATAGCTTACAACCTGCTGTCAGCATTGGGATACACATAGAAGCTCTGTTTCCTGCTACACTCTCTACCCTATACCCGTCGGCCTGTGCCTGCAGGAGCGGCAGCGGAAGAAGGCTAAGGCGACGCGGCGCCTGCTGTCTGTTCGGGGAGGGAGGGGGGGGGGGATGCCGACCAGGGACTTTTCCTTTTTCTAGGGTATTGTTTACGGTAGGGGAGTTCGGGGGGGGGCTCAGACGCGTTGATCCGGGGTTGTTCTCAACTGTGATTGCTGTCCCTTGTGGTGCACCTGAAGCGCTCCTTGCTCTGCAGTGAGAGGCCAATGGCGACGTGGTGCTGTGTTTTGGCTGCAAAGGCCTTTGATGGCACCTTAACCTGAAGGTCCCAAGGCAAAGACCAACGCTCAGACTCCCCAAGCCCACAACCCCACGCCACTCCAAAGCTCTCAACCTCAGGATGTTCCCCCTTATACCAGCAGTCCTTAGTCTGGGTTATAATGGGGGGGGTGGGGGGTACTCGAATCCCGATTGAGTAGAAGGGGGAACATCCCAACCTCAATCCTCAAATGCCACCCTAAGCAAACGCCAACCAGACCCTGAGCCCGAAGCCTGCGGAACGGGGGATGGGGCCGAGGAAGTACAGCATGTACGACGAGAAGTTCCCGATCAAGGCCATTGCTCGTATTCTTGTTTGCATGATTCATCGTCTTATGCCGAGTATTCTTGCTATTGTTAGTATCACTAAGTATTTCTTTCTTATTGCTAGTATCACGATTGTTTTTTTGTAATAAAAATGCCCTACCCCACCCCCCCCCCCCCCACCCGAAGCATTCAGGATGGGCAAATCACGGCCGCGGAGATCGACGAGCGGGGCCCTGAGGTTGCGAGACGGCCTCCTAAGGGCCCTTGTGGGCGTTCTGCTTGTTGGGACTTCTTTAGATGACGTGCTGAAGCACTGCTTGTTTTGTCCCTTTCTTTTTTGTTTGCAGTTCGCAGTACTGTAACCGTTGATTGTGGTCAGCATCGGCAGATTCATTGCGATTAAGACCTCTTGAGTCCCAAGCCCGGCACCCCCGAAGCTTGGTTGTTGCTCTCAGGACGTACTGCCTCTCGGACGTGATGCCGGGCTGCAAGATCCACTTGAGCCACAAGAATGCCGAGGAGACGTCTCGCCACGCTTCAGGGGATTTGGGGCGTTCAGGGGGTTTCATTTTTTTTTTATTTTTTTTTTGAGGGGGGGGGGGTTTAACTAGGGAGCAGCCAGTAGAGCTGAGGCTGGCTGTGCGGCTGATACAGAGAACAGGGATGGTGTCCTCACCCCAAGTATGGGGCATCGGATCCCGAAAGTTTTTGGGTTTGAAGTCCTGAAGGCCCTAAACAGGTTGTTTAGGGCATTCAGCGAAACCCAGACCTCAGTTGAGCGAGGAGAAGTACAAGGTGGAGAGCGCCGGCGAGGCCTGGGGCGCTTGAAGCCCTTCGCCCCACCCGAAATCGCCTTGCCGGTCGTAAAACCAACATACATCATACCATATCATACCTATCCAAATGCTTGAGCAACTTTGGGGTTCCCACGCTGGAGTGGTAACGTGCACACATATTTGTTTTCTAGCTTTTGGAGGTAAGAACATGTTAAAGACGACTTCGTGTGGGAAATTGGGCTCGATTCCCGCCCCTCCCCCGCACCCCCCCCCACCTTTGAAATTCTGCGGGATTCTGTTGGCGCCCAGCCCATACGGGGCCAGCCGAAAGCGAAGAGTTTCGGAGACGCCACGGCGGGAGAAAAAGAATTGACCTCTCGCAGGTGCACAGGTCTGACCGCAGCAAATCTGCCAAAGCCCTTGCAAGTGTCCACCCTCAACCGGTAATTTCACAGCCTGGAGGCAACAGGCTGCCCTCAACCAAAACTAAACCCTGATCCCTCCTTACCCTGTAAAGCCCCCTACGTACGTGTTTAAGCCTTGCAAACGTTCCGGTGTGCTCGCCATCAGCCCCCGGCCCACAGCCTGAATCCTCCCACAGAAGCCCTCGAACGCCACCAATCAAGTCACAGACCTCCCGGAAAGAGCCCTTAGCACAGCGCAGCATGGCAGAGCGATCCCCCTTGCAAGGGATGAGCTTGCGGGGGGGGGAGGGGATCCAGCTCGCAACGAAGCCTCCAGCCCTGGACCCCGAAGCCCTCTTCTTGCGAAGCAGCCAGGTTTTTCCCTACATCTTCGAGGAGCCACTGGGGACTTTCCACGATCTGGAGGCAGGCGAGACCTACTTTGCTCCTCAGCATGTTAGCAAGTTAGAAAGAGGGCGTTTCTTTTTTCCACCCCGAACCCTAAAGTGCTTTTTGATTATTTTGTTTGCTGGTCTCTCGTTGCCTTCTCGCGCTTTGCAGCGTTGTGTTCTTCCAGGGGATGTCCTCCTGTCTTTGGCATGCTTCACGCACCAATTTCCCAGATGCATCTGAATGCCTGTATGCTCTGTAATTACTCGTCGCCATCGCCGCTGGCGTCGCTTCTCCAGACCTGTCACTTGCCATGCTTTACCACTCCGTTGTCGCGGTGTTCCTCGGCGGGTTGCCTCCATCCTCCGGTTCCTGTTTTCTTGTTGCTGGCTTTCTCAAGTTCCCCACACAGCAGAAGCGCCCTCTTCTTCCCTGAAGCGCCACGACCTCCCGACATCAGCAGAGGGCAAACAGATGCAGGTCCACCACGCCCATAAGCCCCCATGAACCCCCACCCCTACCTCCGCCCAAGGTTTTTGTGGAAGAAGATGAGCGACTCGGCACGGGTTTGGGGATCAGGGTTTCGGATCTGGGGCTCCGGGTTTAGCCCTAAACCATAAGCCTAAACCCTAAACCCTAAACTCACGCCTTGTGAGGACGGAATTCCTCAAGTCCCAGGCGCCCGGGGCATGCAAGTCAGTCTCGAGATTGGGGGGGGGTGGGGCTTTAAGGGTTCAGTTTGGTGTACTAGGGCTTCGAATACAGAGGCTTATATGGGGGTTTCCGAAACACGGGGAACCTCATTGGGGTCTTGATTATAAGGGCCTCCTGTACCATGGAGGTCCTATGTAACATGGACTCCTAGAATAGAAAGGGTAGAACAACCCAGGAACTTTGAGCATGGGGGGTGGGACACAGACCCCAAAGTGTTGGGATGTTCCACCCTTTTATTCGCAGTCCTTAATCGGGAGTATAATAGGGTACCAGAATTTACATTTAGGACTGTTGGCATAGGAGGGACATCCCAGTGTGGTTGTTCAAGGGCAGACCCAGCCCCTTTCTCGCGACCGGGTTCGAAGAAAGCTGCCCCCTTCAGGACCCCAAATGCCCCCAAAATTCCCTAAACCCTAAACCCTAAACCCTAAACCCTAAACCCTAAACCCTAAACCCTAAACCCTAAACCCTAAACCCTCAACCCTAAACCCAATACCCAAGACCCTAAACCCCAGACTTTGAAGCTCTGCACGAGGAGAAGGCGAAGCAGAACTTTGCTGGCGTGAAGTCGGCCGCCACACGCGGTGAGGGCTGCAGCTGTTTGGAAGGCCTCTTCTTTCTCCGTTCAAGTCCCCATTTGCGTTTATCGTCCAGGCTTTAGGGTTTAGTGTCTAGGGTTTCTCACATAGTTACGCAAGTAACGTGCATTTACGAAAATAGGGGACCCCTAATATAGACCCCAAAGTAGTAGGATTCCCTCAGAATACGGACCCCAACAAGGTGCCCCCCCAAGTTCGGGAGCCCCCCCCCATCTAGTTGCGAGGATCCCTTAAGAAGGGTCCTTGAGTCGCATTCTCAGTTGAGAACTTCGGTTCCCTTTACGAAAAGTTCAAAATCAAAGATACTCGAGCCCTCCTCCCCCCTGGCTTGCCCAAGAAGCTTCACAAGGTAGGTTCCGTAAACTGGGGCTCACTTGGGGACCCTCTCGTGCCTTAGGTTGAGGGTCAAAACATCCCTAAGCCCTCAACCCTCGAGATCTTTGGGCACCCTCCCCATAAATATTGACAGGCAACCCTTGCGCCCAAGAGTGCGACGCACAAGGCAACAGCATCTGCCAGGGCCTCAGTTGATTGCGTGGGTGGGAGGTTTGGGATTTTGGGAACCCGACCCTAATCCCGGGTGTGGGGTGTGGCCCCAGCTCAGAGCCGCCGAGGCCAATGTCTAAGGTATGGAGTGTAGGTGTTTGTATGCACTATGACTTATTCGTGAATTCCAGGTTTTTGGCTTTTCGCTCTCACTCGCTCGCTCTTTCTCTTTGTCGTTCACTTTCCCTGTCCCTTTCCCTGTCTCTATCTCTATCTCGTTCCCTTTCTCCTTCTCTTTCTCTTTCTCTTCCTGTTTCTCTTTCTCTTTCTCTTTCTCTTCTCTTTCTCTTTCTCTTTCTTTCTCTCTCGCTCTCTCTCTCTCTCTCTCCAAGTTTGTCAACCCAAGCTTTTAAGCCCTGATGCTTCCAGCCCCAAGCGCCGCGCCTTTGAGACTGAGGCAAGGACTGGGCCAACCGGTTCGCCGTTGCCAAGGCCCATGGCTGGCTGGGTTACCAGGCCAAGTGAGAGACCCTTCTTCAGGGTATTTAGGGTTATCAAGGGTTGCTGAAGGGCTCTTCATAAACTTAGGGCCACCAAGGGCTCTTTCGGGGCTTAAGCGCACATCACGGCCACATCTAGGGCCTCTTGAGTTCATGTCTCAGCTGCGAAGCCACCGTTTGCCTAAAGGAGGCAAGATGGCACTTCCCAGCTTTGGCGGGGCTTGTGGATTTCTAGCACAGCTCTCGTTGTTAACGATGTGAGCCTGGCAGCTGCAAAGCAGCTCGCCCTGGGTAGCATGGGCAGGAAAAAAGGCGGCAGCTTGTCGCAATCTCCCAAGCTTTCAGCCCAGCTTGGTGCATGGATATGGGGGGGGTTTCCGAAATCAGGGGTATACCGTATTGGGGTCCTTATAAGAAGGGGATCCTAGTATTTGGGATCTATGTTGGAGGTCCCCTATTTTCGTAAACGCCCCTATGCCTTTCTGACTTGGCGTGGGTCCTCTCTAGCGACCATGTAAGGTTCGGGCTCCAGAAGCTTTTAAGATGTGCCTATCTGAGCAGCCAACCCCCAAGCAATACAGAAGCCCTAACTCAAAACTGTCATCCCTTTATCATCCCCACCTGAATCTGAGCCCTACATATCAACGTGAGATCAGCCCCCCCTCCGGACCCCCCCCCCCCCCCCCCCCCCGGGCCGCCCTCTGGCAATCATGGCAATAAGATGCTGAGTCCCCTGCATGCTCTGAAAGGGGAGTCACTAACCCCTCAGCCCTGAAGCTCAGATCTTGTTGGTTTCTTTTCTGTATTGATTAATATCATATTAGGTTTTCTTGTGGGGGGGGGAGTTGAGGGCGGGGAGTTGAGGGCTTCCCCAACCTCTGAAGACACTTCCGATTGTCTGTATGTAACTTCTAATACTTGCTTTTATGTTGTCACAGTGTCTTCTTATACTTGCACACACGCTTCCCCATGTTTGTCTTAGGTAAGCGAGTATTCGCAGCAACCTTCCCTTAGACCCTATAAACTTTTCAGGGTGCAGAGTCTCTGCATTTTTGTTAGTGTAGTTTTCTGCTAGAAGGAGGAGGCTGCGATACGTGAGGCAGTCGACTTGGTCTGATGCGGTCTGATGGAGTACTTGGAGGTGCATGGGCACTTGTATGTAGGGTTATAAGTTGTGGCAACTATGCTTATAGCCTTATTTAGGGTACTGATAAACCCTACTTACCAAGTAGGTCAGAGAGGGTAAGAGTCCGGGGGAGGTGGTCTTCGTGTGAGCTCTTTGGCCTCGGACTTCTTCGTGGCCGTGGAAGCTCAGGCAGCTTCTTCGGTTTTTTTTCTGCCTTTATGGGGCGCGCTCTTATTTTGTGGACCCCTCAAAGGGGCCTAACCTCTGCACCTGAAGGCCGAATCCGGACTCGCTAGAATTTTCGTCCACGGGCCCCTCAACTTGGGGTAGCACCTGTCAGGCGAGGAGCCTTTGCACATCCATCCTGTCCATTCTCCAGACACTTGGACGGGCAACACAGTGCTTGAGAGTTTGCCTCGGGACTTTTCAAGGGGCAAGAGCTCCGATGACGCTTTCGTTTCGAAAGGAGGCATTGGGTGAGGGGTCGACGCCTCGGTCAGGACGAGTGCCAGAAAGGTTGGGGGTGCTCTACCGGGACTCTACCGTAAAGCCCAGGGCCCCAAAAGGGAAGACGCTGAGCGGAGCCACCATCTAGCTGTCGACGCATCGATGTGAGCCCAGGACAGATCAAATGCCTTCTGTGCCTGGGGCACATGCAGCTGGGCTGCAAAGAGGCGTGCCAAAAGTCCGAAGCCCTGAGCAGTTTTTGGGCTTAAAGAGTCCGATGAACAATAAAGTAGTAATTGTGTCATCTATAGCAATGTACCAATACGATAGAATTATATCATATTACAACATCATCGTACAATGATAGAACCAGCACTGAGGCCGGT